CTAAATACCAGTGTGTAATGTGGAATATAAGGACTTGTGGTGGTTGTCTTGGCTTTTATGCAGTGAATCACAATTGTAAATATATTTACCTTAGCACACATATTTATTTTTCCCAGAGCAAAGTCAACATTACTTCCACTTCGAAAGCCACAGATCTCATTTAGGCATTTAAAAACAAACAAACAAACAAAACAAAGAAAAGAAACAAAACTAAAACAAAAAAAAACCCAAGCCAACCAACCAAAAACAAAACAAAAAACCCCAAGCCAACCAACTAAAAAAAAACCAAAAAAAAACCCCCAAAACCCCCCAAAAAATTGGCAATGGAAGACTGGAAGACTGTATCCTATTCCAGTACCTTCAGATTTTTTAAAGAAAATTGTTACTTCGTTAGACTTCAATAAACAAGTTTTGCAATAAAACGTTAGAAATACTGTAATACACTCATTGTGTGGTATCGCACTGGACCCCACAAAAAAAGGGAAATGTCATCTGTGATAACAGCAAAATTGAGTAACTACACCCGTTACACACAGAGTTATCACTGGAGAAGTGACACTGTCAGGGTCTGGCTGAACAGCCTAACGCTTTGCAAATACCAAAACACGTCTGAAACACTCAGATAAGTAGAAGTGATGAGAAGTGACACGAGACCTTTTCAGAGGACAGAGAGAACACAACTGGAAAATCTATCTCTAGCATGTGCGAGAGTAAGTTCCTATAGTGCTGAGGAAAACGCAGTTCGATAGGTGAGAAAGAAAAGGCACTGAAAAGATACTTAAGCAGCAGGCTGATTGTAGTTGAAACCTGCATCTGAATCCTGTAACTTTATTAGGAGATTCTATTGACCGAGGGTTGTGGAGGATCTCTTAGCTTTTAATATATTATTTTTTCATCTCCTTCCGGCTACTGCCCCTTGTAACTCGTCTCCTTTATTTCCAGCTCCCTTCAGCAGCCGCACGTTGCTCCTGCCCGGGGCACGCAGGAACCCCGGCACACAGGTGGGATCCCGGGCCCGCGGTGTCCCCGTCCCCGTCCCGCCCCGGCGCCGCCTCCCGCCCGCGGGAAGAGCCGGTGAGGCGGCGGCGGCGAGAGGAGCGGGGGCAGCCGGAGCCGCGGAGCTGGGGCTGCGCTCCGCGTCCCGCCGAGCACACGCACCCCCGAAGCCCCGCGCCGGGCAGCCGTGGGGCAACCGTGGGGCAGCCGTGGGGCAGCCAGCTCCAGACCCCCGGGCCCGCTGCCCCGGCCCCGCCCGCCCCGCCCGGGTGGAGCCCTGCCCCGCCCCGCCGCGGCAGGAGGATGAGGCGGCGGCGGCCCCGGCCGAGGCGGCTGCCCCATGGCGGAGGTAAGTGAGGGACGGGCGGCTCCGAGCGGGCGGTCTAGGGTGTCTGTGGGGAGCGAGCGCTGGGGACGCGAAGGAGGACGCTTTTCTGAGCCAGGCGCCGTCCCACAAAGAAAAAAAAGAAAGAAGCCAGGAGGGAGGCACAGCTCCGGCGGTGCGCTGGTTGGCCCGTGCCCTGCGCGTCCCGGGCGGCGGGAGCCAAAGCTCCGAGCGGCGGGGCCGGGCCGCCGCGCTGCCGGAGCGACCCGCGGAGCTTTCCGCACCGGAGCGCGGTCAGCCCGCAGAGCTGCCCTGGCCCGGGAACAGCCCCAGCGCCGCTGTCACCTGCCGGGCAGGGTTGTAAGGCCGGGACGGACAGTTCTGCTTGGCATTTCCTCCGGCATCGCCTCTGTTTTTTTCATGTGGGCACACAGGCTTCTCAAGAACATCACGCATCTGCAGAAACGCAGCTTCTCCGGAGTGTTTCACATGGTGCACCCCTCACCTGGGCGCGGGGCACCTGTGCGTCGTAGTGCGCTAAAACACTTTCCAGGAGCATTTCTTAAGTGTAGAGGGTCTAGGGCAAACCTCCGGGCTCCTTTTATCTGCCATCCGTTAGCAGCGGGCGGATTCAGAACCCGCCGTGAAGCAATAAGCAGCGCTGACCAGTTTTCCTATTCGCACCTCGTGCAGTCCGTGCTGCGCTTCTGTCGCCTTGTGCCCACTCGGGCCCTGTCCTGCACAGAGCTGAAGAATTGTGTACAGCTGTAGCTCCAAGGCTTTTCCCAGTTCAATTGCTATTGGGAATAGAGTTTCATTGTTTCCTGCATAGGTTATGATCTGGGATTTGTGTTGTGCACTTCGTGGATATAAAAGGTACAGGAATGCCAAAACGGTGGGATTTTAACTCTGAAGTTCAGTACATTTTGAAATACCAAGTTGAACTACCAACATTTTTCAAGTTGATTTTGAACAATTGTGAATAGCTGATTCTTATTGTGAATTAATGGACCAGCATCAACTAGTAATTGTTTAATTTGTCATGCATGGTAGATTTTATTTTCCTTTTAAAATTTTCTTTAATTTTTTTTTTCTTTTTCCCTATCTCCCCATGTGTTAACTTGGTTATTTTTGTAAAGTAGTTGCAAAACGAGTTTCAACACCCTGACTGTAAGAGATGACTCTTTTTATGTGGAGAGATGATTCATTTCTTTGCTAAGTGTAGCTCTGGGCCTCTCTCTTTAACACAATGCATTTAAGTGAAATAATGATTGGAGCAAGATAAGGCATTGTTCAGTCCTTGAAATAAAGTGTAAAGGGACATCTGTCTAGAAACTCCCATGTCATTTCCACTTCACATTTTCAAGCACACGGCAGGTCCAAAACATGAAACACAGATCAAAAAGTAGATCTTTGTTTTCAAGGTGACCTTTGGTAGCTTTGACTGAGTTTACTTATGCTGCCAAAATGTTATTGTAATATTATAATGGATTCCAGAGTGGTTCAGCTGATTTATAACCTTCAATTTACCTTTTATAAAAATAGATTTGAGCTATTTTTAGCATTTCTCTTATCCATACTAGATCAGGATGAGAAGTCTATGTAAACAGATGGAAGCATTTGGGTTTTTTCTGCTTGATAGTTTGTGGCATCATGAAAAGTTTGCAGCTGGATTTTGCCATCCCTGGTTTGATTTTATTCATTGGACTCTAGTCCCTGCTGAGAACATTTCTGGCAAAACAGTGCAAGCTTTTGGTCCTCATCTTTTGAGATCTAGTACTTAAAACTACTCTTGAATACAACTGCAGATGAAAATTAATTCACTGGCCAAAGCATGCTGTTGAAGCATACTAAACTGCAGGGGTTTAAACTGTCCTGTGTTAAGATGAGATGCAGTGTTAGAACAGCCTGAGCACTTTGGTTTTGACAAGGAGTAAAATGACTAGGTGGATTCCTACACTCAGCTTGCTGCCCAGCGGTCTTGAATCAGCCCTAACCTTTGTATTCCCAGCAAACTATTTCATTCTGTTTGTTTCTGAAATCAAACATAGGCTTGCTGGTGAAATGCAAACCCCACAATATTTTATTGCTTTAGTAATAAAAAATAAAGAATATATTTCCTCTGAAGTACACCCTTTAATGGAGAAAATAATTATACTATCTCAGTGTCATGTGATTCGTTTTCTTAGATGGATGTGTGTAACAGGACCAGGGATAAAAGTGCTTGTACTGCTACAGAGACTGCATTTAAAAAGGGTTTTGTGTTCCAACTTCTGCACTGCCCATACTGCTCTGTCCTGCATGCCCTAGAACAGGTCAGAGCAGGTGTTGGTAGATGTGCCCTATGGCTAGGGGGTATTAGTTTAATGCCTCTGCACTGTTCTGACCTGCGTCAGCTACAGAATCAAAGCTTGTAGGTTTCGTTCTCAGGATGTTTAAGATTGAGACTAAGCTCCCTGAGAACCATGAGTTTAGAGGAAAAGAAATAAAAAAGCAATAAACATTTCCTTTGAATAACTGGAAAAACATTCATTTCATGCAAGGAAATGGGTTTATTTCTGTAGTAATGAAAAGTGGTGTTTCAGGCCCTGCCTCTTTGCAGAACACTTGAGTCCAAGAGTTCGGGCTCCAGTGGGCATGTTTGCTAAGGAAACAGATAAAAAGCCTAAGAGTGTCTTTTCTTTGGAGTGATTATTTCTCATGCTACTTTTTTTTTTTTTTTTTTTCCCCAGTTCCAACAGTATTTGTGCTGCACCTAGTCTTTCTTCTCACAGTTTGCTGGAAAATGAGATTGCAGTCCTGGTTGTGCTTGCATTCTTTTTAGGAAAGGGTTTACAGTGGGAGCACCACTTGCTCCTTAATATTCAGCACCTGTTTGAATGCTGGCATCCCCTATTGAAAACAGGGTGCCTGACTTTTTTTGTTCTACTCAAACCTACTCACACAATTTAGTAGGCCATGTGTGAGTAGGCCACACTGAATTACTCACACAGGTAAAGTTGGGCATATCTGCTTATTTTTCTCCAATGTGAAGGAAAGTAAGGTATTGTTGGATTGCTCAAGAAAATAGCTTATTATAAGGAAAACTAAAACTGACATTTAGAGGCACTGTGTGGCTGTGTACATTTTGAAGTTTTAAGCTCAGAAAGGACCAAAAAAAAAAAGGGGAGGCAGGAGGAAGACACATAGCTGACACAGGGTATAGGTCTTATATTGGTGAGGAAAAGAGAAGCCATTCTACAGGCACATAACTTGGGTTACATTCCATGCCCCACTCTGCCAACTGCATTTTCCTTAGGCTTCTCAATGTAACACTGCCTCAACAACACTTCTGAAAGCTCTTACACTAAGCCCTAAGTCCATGTGAAAAATGAATGAGACACATTTTCCAAAGCACCTTAAAAACTGTGGGGGGAAACTGGAGGCCTCAGTGCTGCAAGATGTGGCATCAGTCCTATGTGTATGGTCATAGTATTCCCTCCCAAACAGAAAGTCTCAAGAAGCTTGTCACACAGCAGTGTCTTAGCTGAAGGTCTTGCAAGTGTTCAGAACTGCACTATTTGGTTCAGTGATTTTCTTTTCCCTTTTCTTTTCTGTATATCAGTATTCCTGTGTGTGCAAGTATGTGTTTATGTGTGTATGTAGACATTTGAAGAAAGGGAGTTTAAAAACTCAATGGTTTCTTTATCTCTTACGGAATATATGTGGGAAAATATTTGGATTAGCAAGAATGGAATGTGTAGCTCTTTAACTTTTTCTCTGTGTTAGTCTTACAGTAAAAATGTTTGTTCCAAATCACATGAACCCCAGGCAGTGATGCTGCCTGTGCCAGCAGAAGAGGCAGTACTTGAATGAGAGCAGGAGTTGCTGTGTTAGGTCATTGCACTCCATGTGAAACAAGATCCAGCTCAGGGTGGGATAGAGAAGGAAGGTTCTGCTCCCACACAAGTCAGGTAGGTTTGTTATATCTGAATGTATTGCATTCTTTCAACAGATCTCTGAGGCCCTTCCCAAGAGCTGAATTCCTGTACTCGATTAAACAACACCCACTGCAATTAATAATTAACAGGATAACATTGCTGTTGTTTATGAATTACAAAATTTAAGGAAGAAGATGCACAGTGGATAATTTGTATTGTTTGTACTATTGTCTCTGTTACTTTTTAGACAGGGCAGTTTGAGTCAAACTGAGTATGAGGTTATGTAAAACCTCATACAAGTGCAGTTATTTGAATACCATTAACAGCAGAGTTTTATGGTATTAAAGCACTAGAAGGGGGAATCCATTCCAGACTTTGAACACCATTTGAAGTATTTATATTGAGTGAGAATAATTTGGGTTATGGATTTAATTTTTTTTTTCCTTGGTGAGTGTCAAAGTTTGGTAAAGTAAAAGTCAAGTAGGAGCCAGGTAGGCTTTTCTCTGAAGGTTTTTCTTCAAAGGCTGTTTTTGTAATCCATTTGAGAGCTTCCCACTGAAGCTGTGTGCTTAAATTACAGAACATATTTCAAATTATTCTTTTTATTTTTTTCTTTTGGATTCAGTGAGCAGTAGGACATGACAATATTGCTGTGGAGAGACATCTGGAAGTAGATAAATGGGATGAGTCCCTGCTTGTGAATGGTTCTTACCTGTTAGCCAGAACTCGCCTTAAGGAGGTGGGGGAAGGACTTAATGGCTTTTCAGAAAGAGGTGGCATAAGAGAAGAACCACAAACTTAGTTTTGCAAGGGTTTGAAAGAGCCTAGTCAAAGGAGTGTTCAGGGAGGGTGTTAAAGGAAGTTGGAGTTGTGGTGTAGGGCTGACTTGCAACAGCATTTTCCTGCTCTCTGGAGAGTGGCCAAGGTATTGCCAGTGCAGGGGGTGGATGAAAAGTGCCTGTGAGAGTAGATGAGGGGAATATCACGCATAAAGGAAGAATTAGGGTGTTGTAAATGTGGAAAGTAGAAGAGGAATTAGAGGTGAGGGTCAGGAGGAAGGTGAAGATACTCAAGATACTAGAGGAGCTGAAGCATCAGACTGACTTTTAACAGTGCTCTCTATTCAGAGCTGTGAGCTGGCAGGCATTTGGTGTTGCAGAGAGGCTGGTAGCTTGGAAAAGCTGGGAGCTGGATACCTGAGAAAGTATGTTTGCCTGGGAGGACTCAAAAGGAAGACATCCAGAACTGAATTGCAGACAGTTTTATCTAAAAGGGTCCCTGGGTAATTTTGTCTTTATTCAGTACTGACTACATCATGCCAATAAGGGTATACAACCCACTCTATGGTAAAGGCAGAGCAGGAAGGGAGGGAGGTATCTTACAGAACCCTGATGTCAAGTAGTTCACTGACCACAGAAGAAAGCATCTTGGGACACCAGAGGCATAGAAAGAGGTTTTGGGTTTGGTTGTTTGGGGCTTTTTGTTTTTTTTTTTGGGGGGGGGGGTGTGGAGGAGGGAGGAGGCACAATTGGTTGGGTTTGTTTTTTTTTACTGTGCTCTGTCTGAAAGAGTGACTGAAAAAACTTAATTACCCTCATCACATTTACTCTCAGGGATATTGCATACTTTACTGATACCAAAATTGGACAGAAAACAAACTTTAAAACACAGTTTGAAGTATTAAGAAGCAAGCATTCTTTATTCTCAGTGCACTGAACACACCCAAAAAATATCTCCTCTAATCGAATGTATTGTGAAACTTTTCAACAAGATATTTATACAATCAAGACCATATGTACTCATTACAGTGTACTAGCTAATACATAAACATCACTTTTCCTAGAACTAATTTGCATGCATGTGCCTCTTACTGGAAGCTCTTTTATGGTCCTAGAGGGCTGTCTGAAGGAGTCTCTGGTGGTCATACTCAGTGCCCCCAGCATGACAGATGACCTTGCCTTCAACTTGCCTTAGGGCATGTGCTGTTACTTCTTATTACGTGGCTTTGCCACAAAAGCCAATATATTCCTCATTGTCTACTTATCCACTGGTTGCAGCTGTATTTAGCATCCTGTGTGTCTACTTTTGCATTCTTTTATCTATTTTGCTAGTTAGTCTTTAGGCTCTATTTAGCAACTTCGAGGGAAGCTGAAAATTTCTATTCTTTATGTTGTCTGTCATTACAATGAAATTGGTTTCTGGTGAAAAACATTGCACATGACCAAATGGCTGGAGTGTGCACCTATTTGGTGTATTTGTTAGAAGTGGTTTTAAAAGCTCATTTTGAAGGGGTTATTGAGCTATTTTCAACATGAAAACTGATGTTTTAATTGAAGTCAATGGCAACATTAGTCTCTATATCTTCGACGTGTACCTGTCTCTGCCTCCATCTGGGGGGGTAGGTTGGTGTTAATTTTGTGTTGGCACAGAGTGCACACAGTACGTGTGTTTTGTAATAGCTGACACAGCTGGCCCATGCTATCTAAAGCCCTGAAATGCATGTGGTTGAAGAGGTGCTATAATCTCACTGCAGCACACAGGAGGGCTCACACAGGGAGTGTTTGGTTGCAGCCCAGATGGCATTATTAGGATTTACAGTAGATATGACATAAATGTTTGATAGATGCCACATTTGGAGTCATGTCTATGAACCATTTGATTTACTCAGTTGCATTGCCTACCTAGCATGGTTTACTGTTACTTTTAAGCCTAGCCATACATAACATGGAAGTTACTTTGATATTTGGTGTGTCCATCCACCATTCCACCCTCCATACATCCAAAACTCTAGCTGCATTTCAAAAAATAAAGTACTCTTCTGTTCTGGTGTTTTCAGGATATTTTAGGGCTTATTATGAATATAGAGAAACAGCAAGAAACATTTTTCTTCCTGTTTTTCTTATCTATTAAGCAGATATCAGTTTGTAAGATTATCACATATTTAAAGTACACAGGCAAAGAGCAAGATCACTAAAATTAGAACTGAATTATATCAGATACACATAATTATCTTTAATTATTAATTGTATTTTATCCTACCAAGTAGTAAAGTGAAACTACTGGCTATGTTACAGAAGCTGTTTTGCTTAACTTCTGCTGGTATTGTGCAAACTTAAAGTATAGTTTCAACACAAACCATTCTATGATTCTGTTTTGGAAATGCTACTTAATTATTCAAAACGTGGCAAAGAGCACCAGGCCTGTGCCACATCTTTTCAGCTAATAATGAGAGGGCTAATTCTACAGAGAAGTGAACTTAGTAATGGAGAAGGGACAAAGGTTTGTAGAAAACCATCTCAAAGGTTAATGACATCGATGGAGCAGTTTAAAACTTAACAACTGAAATAAAGAGAGCATAATGTAGAGTAATTGGAAGATAGCACTTGATCAGGATACATGAGTAAACAGCACCAAAAAAATTGTTTTTTGCAAATAATTGTGGTTGCATGCCTTTGCTCCAGCACTGAGATATCTGTAGTGATAACTCGGAGTCTGACTGCAGTGAAGCAGCTTTGCAGGGGCAGGTACTCCCTGCCTCTCAGTGCTGTCTGTGCAGCCAGGCAAGCCACCCTGTCTGCTCTGCTCTCTTCCAGCGAGACCTTTCTGTTACTCCAGAGCTAGTTCAAATACTTCTGTGCACTTGTAGCCCTGGGTTGTGTAGTTCTAGTCCTGTGTGCCAACCACACACAGATAAATAGCTGAAAACAGATTGATTATGCTTTGTGCTGCTCCTTCAGAGAGATCTTCTTCACCCATCCAATACATCACAGTAGACCTTTTTTTATTTTGGTGTCATTACAGGTTCTGCTCCCTGTACATTCCTTTAAGGACAGCAGATAAGACATGGGTGTAAGAAGCAAGAGGAGGAGATATGTGAGGATAGTTTGATGTCCAGTACACCCAGTTCATGCTGAGATCAATTCTCTGGTTTACTTAATTGGAAACGGAATGCTCTGTTTTTAGCCTCTGGAAACTTGCCTGCATGCTTCCAATTAAATGTAGGCCAGGCCACCCACAAAACCATATTTTCTCTCACTTCCACATTGATTCTTGGCCCTCCTTAAGTAGCAGATTTGGCATAAACTACTGTTTTTAATATTCCAAAGACTGACAAACTGAAGCCTGTAGCTGACCTGTGGTAAGCTGTACCTTAAGGAAAGGGCAGGTGCAGGGTTAAAGCCCAGCCTCCCCACGTACAAGGCTGGTGGGTAATTTGGTAAATCATATTCAGTCTCAGACCACGTTCTTTAATGAAACTGAAAATATTAGATGGCAGAAGCAAGATGAAAATTTCAGATACTTGGGATTTTATTTTTTTTATGATTATTTTATGATGAGAATTTTAGTGTAACTCTCTGGCTTTGTACTTGGACAGAAGTCCTTCCAAATGCAAATCAAAGGCTGCCCTCAGGTAGGGGTGCAGTTTTACCATTTGGAAACATGCTGTTGGAGGCATGAACTTCCACACCCTCCAGCGGTAGAAGTGGAAAGGCTTCTGCAGTAGATGGGTTTGGTGGTAGTATTAAGTCTTCTACAATCAGCAAAAATTAAGTCTTTTTCTTTATACAGAGACAACCACATGGTGTCCGGATTTCTTGGGCTCAGTGGTATTACTGTAACTCAGTTACTGTTTCTTCTATTACCCGTGTTGCAAAATAAGGATGAGAAGGACAGAAACACTGAATGTGGCAGCACAGTGCTGAGTAAATGCTATCTACACCTAATCCTTCTTGTTAATTCAATTAATAATTGGATTTATTAATTGAATTGATTAATATCCAGACTCTGTAATAAAGCTTTTGTCATTAGATGTACATCCAGTCTGTAGAATTAAGGTATCTTTAATGAAATGCCTTATTCAAAAACATTGTGTGACTGTTTCTTGGGGAGACACCCCTCCTATTCTCCCCATGCAGTAGTCCAGCAGCCAGTCCCAAGTGATACACAGGCATGGAAGGAAGCATTCTGTTGTTGAGCTGTGCTGCTCGTTCTTCATCACTGAGGAAGACTAACAAGCTGGTGCGAAGGGTAACAAAGAGCAAAAACCTTTAGCAGCATAATCCAGGGGATTTTTGTGAACAGCCAAAACAGAAATGAAGGCAAAAAGGTTCTGGTTGATTGCTGTATAGAGTGTTTGGCTGAAATGATCCCACGGGTGAAAATTTGCAATGTGAAATATATTATGTGTGCTGTATCTATACCACCACTGTTGTAAAAACCTAGCTACAGGGCCAGGATCCTTCAGCAAGTGCTCTGGTAGTGGTGCAAACAGTTTTTTCAAGGGCTGGAAAACTTATTGTAGTAATAATCAGCCATGAGTATATTTTAATATCATCTGCTAGTGGAAGAAATGATGTTAGTAAGACTCATCTTCAGAGCCACCCAGTGCAGCATTGTGAAGCTCGCTCAGAAGAGATGACACATTCTCTTTGGTAAGCTACAGGGAATGGGCATGACTGCCAGTGTGAGACCCTGCTTCCCTTCCTTCCCCACTGGCACCTCTGCTCCATTCACATCAGCAGGAGCCCTGTGCAAAGATCAGAGGGAAATTCTGACCTCCATTCTGTGCTTAAGGCCAAGAATCTTGTAGGCAGATGGTTTGTGATCCTGTAGTGCAGTTGTTTGCTCTCAGCCTGGAAACTATTGGTACCATGACACCATCTATGGCCTAGTAGAGAAAATAGATATATTTTTTCCTAAAAGATACCTAAAAATGGATGTAGACTCCGGATAAATTCCAAAATTTGTAGTCGGGAATATTCTCTATTTCCTTAGCAGACAGCAGTTTAATATACTGATAAGACCTGAAAATTCAGTTATTTTTGACATCTCGAGGAAATTAATACAAGACAGTTTTCACAAATTTCTGTGAGCTTCAGGAGCATTTCGTTTCCCTTCAGAAAGGAGATGTCCCATCAGGTACATCAGAAATTTAGATGTCCTCACAGTGGTTTGGGAAAACCATCTCCATTGTAGACTTTAGCAGACCAGTATAATCTGCAGTTAATTTTCCACCGATTTTGAATTATCTGGAGCACACATCATGGGCTCTTCCCAAAGCTACCCCAAGCTTTTCTTTTCCCTGGCAGGGGAATAGATTTATATCCCTGGAAATTTTAAAAGGAGCAATTAAGTTTGTGACTCATATATCTTCTATATACAGACCCAGTGCTTGCAGTTGGTTTTTAGAGGCATCACATTATAGATACCACATTTCTAACTATTTCCTGCATTTGCCTCTTCTGCAGCCAGTAGAGGAATGCATTTGCTCTGTTATCCAGGAGCTGAATGCTCTGCCACAGCAGCAGCTTTCCAGGCCATTTGGCTCCAGAGGAGCTGCTTAAGATCTTTAATAGCAGTTGTCCTTGACTTCTTATTCACTTTTGATGATCATGAGTTTTATTAATTAGAGTATTAACAGGTCACATTATTTTGACAAGTATTTGGTTGGTTCTCTGTAGAATTAAAGCCTAGCCCTGATCTTGCAAGCACATAAAAATGGGACTACCTTCATGCCTGTGATCTGCTCATTGGACTCATTCAAGTGTTTGCAAGTAGCTACTTACTAAGTACTGCTACTTTCTCAGTGTCTGTGTAGTACATGCCCTCTCCAGTTTAACTACATAGAGAAAACTGTTGGTTAGGAGGTTTGTTTTGTTGTTATTGTTGTTTTGCACGCGTGTATGTCTGGTTTTAGGCAAGTAAATTTGTTTTCTCATATTTAGCAATAAAAAATCACCTGGTCACTTCCAGATGCAGCTGACAAAGAAGATATAATGTATTGGAATATAATTTCTAATGAGTAGAAACTGTTAGGCATCACTGAAGGAAACTCTTCACTTTTACATCAGAATGACAGATGAGTGCCCTGTAGATCTGTTTATTTTAACAAATGGCTGTTTATAAAGCCAAAGTTTTCTTCCAGTCTTGAAAAGAAAATACAGAAAAATTGAAAGCCAACAAACAAAATTAGTTTAAAATAAAATCAGGTTTCATATTTTTAAATATTTAAATAGAATGTACAAAATTGAAAATAATGTTAATTTGTTTTAAAGTTATATTTAATTTTTCTCCAAAGTCCTGTTTTACAACTTTTTATATTTACTTTTTAATGTGTTTTGTATGAAGGAACAATTTTAAAACTTTTATATGTTTTGATGACTATTACAACTGCAGGTTTTATGTAGTTCATGCTTTCATAACAAACCTGTAAATTGTTTGCTGAGATTTTTAGAACTGAACACTATCTCATTATGTTTGCTGCTGTTGAAAACGTCTTTTCTGCTCCTACCATAGCATTTTGCTGGGAATACCTGGAACTAATGCAGTGTGGCCACTTGGTTTCCCAGCTGCCATTCCACTGAGTGTCACATTTTAATAACACAGACTTGCCCTGCAAAAGCTGAAATATTGAAAATATTTTTAAATCTAAATACACACTTGAAAAATAGGAATTAGCACTGATTCCTTGTTATTCTAGCAATACTCCAGCCCTATATAATTAACATTTAAGAAGTCTGATTATACAAATATAGATAAAATAAAACTTGAAAATTGTTTCCGAGGCCCCTGTATTTGAACAATCTCATCACTGGAGATTAAAAATCTCCATCATTTGGATAAATGAAAATGGGTAATGTCTACATGGAAGTGATGGGAAACAGAGTTGCTATTACAATACGAGTAAGCAAGGAATTTTGCTAACTGGCCATGTATAATTGCAGGTTTTAAGATTCCATCATTGAGTATCTATCTGGCTTGGATATGTTGTTGTGAAATTACCTCCAAAAGACACTGATAGTCCAAACTTTTCATGAAATCACATCGTGGCTCTTTGGTTTAGAAGAATTAGTTTCCAGCGTCCATTTCTACTGCAGATGGGTTCAGTGCCTGGGCACCAAAACAAGAGGTGGTGGCTACCCCCTGAACTGACACTGGTCTTATTCTGTCCCCAAATTCTACACACTCAGTTCATCCACATGACCTGTTCAGTGCATATTTTATTTGGAATGCTATCACTGGAGAAAAAAAAGTGCCTTTAAAAGATTAATTTTGAGAGCATGCTGTGTAATAGGACCATTTTATTTGTGTCTTCAGGATGTTGACCTGAAAGTATGTCAGGGAGCTTTGGATGACTGCTGTCCACCTCCGGGACAGGATCAACTGGAACTGCAAGAAGAAGAGAAAGACATATATCAAGTAAGTGATGAAACAAAAGGGAAGAAGGGAAAACTGAAGAGGAAGTGAGGCAGGATACAGAACTTATCACTAAGATAAATAGTATTAAAGGGTTTTGAAAGGAATAATTTATTTCCTCTTGTTATTTGAAGTGTCCCTTGCCAGGGCAGGAAAAAAATTGTCCCTTCAGACAATGCTTTGTGAATGATGTGCTTGTATACCTTTTTGAAAATTGCCTCCTTTCTTCAACCCCCCACTATTTTTTTTGAGTAGTTGAAATATTCAGAGGTTTACAGAAAACACTTGCAACTAGTTATTTTTTAATCTGGGTTTATTTTCTCTGTTGTGAAGGTGTGCTTTTGGGCAAGGATGGTTTTGCCTACAAACACTAGAGACATGGATGCTAAATTATACTGCTCTCACCATTTATGTAAAGCTTAATGCTCAGATGTAGAATTACATTTGGGACACTGAACTCTTCTGTTCTCTCTAAGAGCTACAACGAAAAGGGCACTCAATTTTTTTGAGACCTTGTGAGAGCTGAGAACATCTGATCCAGGTGTCTTGCCAGCCTCCTCTGTCTGCCACTCCCCTGAGAGCTTGGCTTTGAAAAAATACTTAATCTTTCCACACTGGTGGGGAGGTACAGCTTCAAAGGAAAGCCCATTTCTGATGTTGTGGGCAGGGTAGGGATGCTCAGGCCATGGAGCTGTTCTGCTCATTCTAGCAACATGTCATCTCCCATCAGGATGAAGACTTGATGGTGGAGTCAGCAGCAGTATTGCACTGTGCTCTGTTTCCTCTCTGACTTTGATTTTTACCTCCTTAGGTAAAATAACTGTGCTTTACACCATATTTCTCTTTTTGTCACAGAGCAACAGCAACCATGGAGATTCCCTTCTCTCCTTAGAAAGCTGTTTACAGCTTCTGTCATCGCAGGTGGAAAACATGCTAGAGGTAAATGAGAAAATACAGGTATTGCCTGCCAATAGATTGGAATATAGTCAGCAATTACTCTGTTTTATCAAATAAAACCACCACAGCCTACCCTACCCACTCTGGGAATTTACTGGCAAATCAACGTAGTAAAACTTACCTGAAACTGCTAAAGATGCTACTATCCACCTTTTACAACAGCTCTCGTTAGGTTTACTTGAAAAATCTTCTCCAGCAACTTGTCTGGTGTATGAACTGTGTCTTTATTGTGATCTGGTATTCAAAGTTGGATGGAACCACTGGACAACTCAATTAGTTCAACTAATAGTTGCCTTTCTAAAACCTAATACCAGTTTGTATTTATGCAGCAGCTCCTGGTGTGTTTCTCTAGAGCAACACTGATTTATTACACATTTATTTATTGGGTATTTGTGGTGAAAGATTACCTTTGTCATAAATACTGGGTCAAGTGCTTACAGGGTTGCTACTCAAGAACAACAGATCATCTTCACTGCAAATCAGGTCAGTCAGCGTTAACAGTAAACCCATTTATTTTTTTGGGGTTTCTGTTTTTGTTTTTTTTTATTTTAATCTTGTGTCCCTCTGATACTATATTTTACTTTCTCTGTGTCCATCTTCACAAAAAGCAGTTGTTACCTTAATTGAAGTCTCTCTTCTCCCACAGCTCATAGCTGCAACTATTGACCATGAAGCTACTCCCTACATTCCTTTTTTGCAATACTTCAACGGCATCTTATATACACTTCCCATCATAGGATCCTCTTCCAGGGTCATAAGTGTTTTCAATATAACTTCATGCTTATTGGTTTTGGGAATCTCTAGCTTGGATAGTACCTTCTAGCCCATAAATTAGGCTCCTCTTCTGTTCAGCTCTGGAAATGGATTGCACGCCAACGAGATGTCCAAGTTCATCAGTTTAGCTTTCTCTGGTCTCAAAATTTGAAAGGAATTTGGCTGTAGCCTTTATACAGCTATTACAATACACAGTAACATCCTGCATATTTTATTTAACATCATTAATACAGTGCCATCTTGTGACAATCTATCTCTTGAATATGGATTGATTGTTTCTGCCAATTATCAGGTCTTTACAGTGAGTGGGATTTTTTGATAGCTGACTTATGACTAATCATGCTTTTCAAGGGATTAGTTGAAAATAGCATCTCTATCTTGCAGACTGCAGGTGGTCTAGTACAAGGTAACTCCCTAGGAGAAATAAGGCAAGACCTTCTTCTGTTACCTGAGCTCCCAATAAGCATAATAGAGAACTTAAGACGTTCTGGTCCTTACGGTAAATCATTCCTTTCCTGTGGAAAGTGTTTTTTACATGTTCACTGAATGGCAATCAGAAAGTTCTTTCCTGAAACACAGTAAAGACACTCAACTATAGAGGAATCCTACACACTTCCTATTTGATGTATGTACATTCTCAAGTACTTTGTATCGATCTATCTCATGACTATTCTGCTTGTGAGCAAGCACCCAGCATAATCTTGGACACTGACTTTGTGCTTCTAAGACCCAGCAACTATAACTTGGGTCCAGAAAAGATGGGCCTTAGTGCTACAGCATTACCAGTCCAGTTTATTGTTTGAACATCAGGGCTGAAGCATCATATATCAGCCTTGGTTTTGTAAAAAAACCTTGAGTAGTAATTTAAAGTCAAGACATCCACAAAAGGTGTGATTTGGTGGGGGAGGGGGGGGATATTACCTAGAAACTGATCAGTATATCAGTTAACAGAGTTTTGGATGCAATAAACTTCAGTTAAATGGAACTAAACCAAATGTGTCACCTTACAGCTCTGAAAACTTCACAAACTGTGAAATAAGTAGCGAGACTGGAACAGCACAATCTTAATGTTCCCATCTTCCACTGCTTTTTTCTTCACCACAGAACTTACTGGTTAACTTCTGCAGATGAGCTGTTTATGTTCTTTAAAAAGTTTGTTTTCTAACAGTCAGCACCTTGAACTAGCTCACCCTTGAATCATCAATACCACTACCAGGGAAGGGTCATGACCACTCCTCCTAGCAGGACTTTTTTCTTAGATCAGAACAGACAGAACACATAGGCCATAGTTTGTACACTTGACAATAGTACCATTTTTACCTCTCAACCCTCATCAGTCCCACCCTGTCCTTTGCAAGTCATCCTCCCATTCCTTCAGTCAATTCTGCACTTTTCCTTCTTCCTTTTGCCATATGCCAATATAGATTATGCTTTATAGAAATGGGAAACAGCATTCCAAATAGCTAGAAGAGGAGTTTAACATACAAAAATTTGGCTTTAATAGAATCAAGGAGTGGAATGTTAAAAAACAAATTGATTGTGTAAGGGAGGGGTGTAGAAGCATTCATTTTATGAAAGATCTCGTTTTTCCTCCTTTCATCTTGTAGGTGAACTTACTGGAAGATACACAAGTTGCTACTCCTAGTCAAGGCCAAGACCCATCATCCTCACACCACAATATAAATTTGACCCAGACATTTCAGAACAGTTTCAGTCCTCCTGATGCCATGCTACTAAGAACAGACTACCCCACTCAATTAAATTCAAAACCAAGACTCTTACAAAGGCAAGAGTTTTTCCCTCAATCAAGCTCTGATAACACAAATTCAGAATCACCATTTCACGGGTCAAATTTGACAGGGCTGTTTTCAGTTGCTGACCTTAGAAATCTAACAGCCCATGATGATAATAATTTTGATGAAATTAAGCTCATGTCTTTGGCTTTGGAGGAAGGCTTTAGTCCTATAGAAGTTTCCCAGATCTTTGAAGAGCCTGGCTCAGATTCAGGACTATCTTTGAATTCAAATCACAGCACCACCTCTTACTCAGTCTGCTATGAAGGTTCTGTTGGATACAGCAGCAGTATTAAATCTGCTCCTTCGCATGGCTTAGGAGCTGTTGGTGGCCATTGCCAAGAAAAGATTAAGCACAGCCTTGTGGAATATCCAGGTGTTGCAGAGCGTTCTACAGAAGTTCTTCAGCAGTTTCTCCATAATCACACTTATAATCAGCTGCCAAATCAAGCAGCATCTACTCTAGAGCATCATCAACAGATGTGGATGAAGAAATCAAATGAAGTAAAGGATAGGTGCTACAATTCTACTGCTACAAACCGGAGCAGGGATGAATGTCATGCAAAGGCTCTGAGAATACCATTTTCAGTCGAGGAAATTGTGAGCATGTCCGTTGACTCTTTCAACACCATGCTAGCACAGAACCAGCTGACAGAAACTCAGGTATCACTTCTACGTGACATCAGACGAAGAGGAAAAAACAAGGTAGCTGCCCAGAAATGTCGTAAACGCAAACTGAATGCAATTCTTAACTTGGAAGAAGACGTGTGTAATCTTCAAACACAAAAGGAGAGCCTTAAAAAGGAGCACTCCCAGTGCAGCAAATCAATCAACCAGATAAAGCAAAAATTAAACAACTTGTACCATGACATTTTCAGCAGACTGAGGGATGACCAGGGTCGACCTGTTAACCCACGCCAATATGTCATTCATTGCAGTAGCAATGGTAGTGTTTTCATAATACCCAAGCACTTGGCCAAATCTGAACAGAACCAAGATAACAGAAAAGAGTAGAAACAAAAGTAAGATGACTGGAGATCACCTCAATCACTTTTGCCTGAAAGCATGATAAGAGTACTTGTGTGAAGACTAAGGGTCAGTGATTACAGCAGTTCAAACAGAAACAACTACACTTGAGGAGAAACACTCTATATTCAAGGGTCTGGCAAACTCAACCATGGTCTGTTAGAAGGTCCTTGAGCTGAGGCTTCTGGATGAGGAAATCTGTTTAGTTTTAGTTAGAATTGAAGGAGCTGGACCATGAGTGTAGTGCAGCTTTATAGACCGATGTTAAAACTAGCAATTTAGTTACTGGGAGAACATCAGTGAGGGATGAAAGTCAATTTTGGATCAATGTTACACATGCAAAAAAATGTTTTAGTCTTGAATACCTGACTGTTTATACAGAAAATGACCTTATTTTATTCTCTAACACTGAAAGAAAAAATATAGTTCTAGTGCGTCTTCAACTTAAATTACCTGTGGATTTACAAAGGCTCAAGAGGTAACTGCATGCTTTGCATTTATTCAGAACGGCTCTGCTTTTCCTGGTTTTCCTTTGAGAGCAGTCGAGGAGGCTACTGCATTTTTCCTCACTACTTTCAGCATCATAACTCCAAGCAAAGATGATCTGCCACTTAGTTTTACAACTCATACACTCAATCTGCAAATATGCTGAAAAATACTGTCCGATTCAGTATTTTCTTACCTTCACCCTCTGCAACTAAGTAATTCTCAAGTTTTTTCCACAAAAATGACCAATAGTGAAGGAGTTCTGTTTATTAGTGACTGTGATATTTATTTGTGTGCCTTCCCTTTTCCTCCCATTTTGACACCTTCCTCAAGAAGTACTTGTGTTTTTCTCTGTGGCTTTTTAAACTGATATTTTTAAAATGTCTTAAATGTTCCAGATTTAATTTTTTAAAATACACATTTTACTTAGTCTTTAAAATAAATTGAACCAAATTACTAATTATCTATACTTGTAATTACAAGGTTACACTCTGATAGTTCTCCAAATAAAGGTTTTTGGTTTGACATTTATTTGTGCCCTTAGAAAGGAGAAGTTTTATTCACTTACATACTTACAACATCCTATCCTTTCAGACTAGTTTACAGTCTGAAAAAGGTCTGCAAAAGAGATGGCTTAAAAGGCCTGTAATGAATGATAAGGAAGGAATATTGAGGTATATTATTATGAAAATAACTACTAATATTAATTTCTAGATAACAAATACTTCTTGTTAATTTTATAATTAAAACACATAAAACTGGTATTTAAAAAGTTCTCATTGGTCATGGCATGATTACAATGGACTGAACTTACATTCAGGTATATTAAAAATATCACTTGTACCAATCCATAATAACTACACATAAAAGCTTAAATGCCAAATTATACCTGCTGATGAAGCAAACTGCCAGTAGCATGGAAGTCACATTAGCTGTTTGCACTTATCTGCAACAAAACTGATACTATCAAGTGATATTTTCTGAAAAGAGAGCCCTAAGTGCCAAGTGCACTGAATTATCAATAATGAAATCAGCCTTTTTGAACAATTTTCTCAGCATTTTCTATTAAAGGATTTATTTAAGTAAATGCGTATATGCGTTCTTTATTGGTTTCACCAGTCTCAAATTGGTAAGTGGAAATTCATAGCAGAAAGTCTCATTCCTGAGGCTATGCAATTTCTTGCTGTTGGTTAAGCACCAGTGTGAGACACATCTAGCCTAACTGGTGTCCACAAAGGATTTGTTTACTTGCTAGACCACAAACTCCAACCATAACATGCAATGGGTATCAGATACATTATGATGAATTGTGAACTTTTTTTCTAGTGTAGAGGAAAAATGAAGTACATATTTAAGTCAGAATGATCATAATCAATTAAATGACATAATAAACATTTTAAAATTCATGCACTTACCCTTTGCAGGACAAGGTCTTTAAACCTACTTCACTGCTCATGTGCATAAATTCTGATAGCTGATACATTACGCTCACAACTGAGAAATTCAGAAAGCCAAGCATTTCTGCTTTAGGGCCTCACACGGGAAAGTTAAAAAAAAAAAAAAAAAAAAAGAAAGAAAAAAGCCTACACTTTTTGGTGCCCACTCCTTCAGTAGCAGTGACAGGTCAGCTCTCTGGATTTTTTTAAGGCCAGCTGCTAACGGAGTCTTGCATATACCAAACTGGGAAATAGCTACACAGTTAAATTTTGGTACATGCTAAAAAAAGCATCCTGTAAACCCTTTGAGAACATAATTACTAATGGAAAGCAGCTCACTCCAACTGATCCATTTAAGACATCAGCCCTAATCCCATTCCATTCCCTGAAAATTTGTAGATTGTAAAGGACTGTAAATTGCCCTCAGCTAACTGAACTGTCATTATTGCCCAGTAACTGTATTTCTCTGATGTATGAACCTCAGTTCCTCAGAATGCAACAAACAACTCTACTCCTACAAAAACTGAGCTGAAATACTGATTTTGGGTGGACTGCAACAGTACTGATGTCTGGATGGGTATTTTTTCAAACCATCAGCTGCCTGCACACAGGACAAAACCATAGGTAGAATTCAAACCAATGTCCTGGTTTTAACTGGAGTAAACAGTCATTTGAAGTGTCTTCCCTTTCTGCAACTAGCCTGCTTTTAAAGAAAATTCCAAACAGACATAACACACACAAAAAATCCACACCAAACAAAAATTCCCAAACATGGCCTGGTCTTGGCTATGCTTTACAGTTCCATATCCTCAAGAGATGTGTGGTTAGGGTAGAGAGCTTAAGCTTTTAATACACTTCATTCATGTACTGGCCTTAGACCGTATTTACAACCTCTGTACTGAAATAGACACTACAAAATTGAGCTTTTCAAGTGAACAGGACTGACCAAAGTTATTACTGAAAGGGTGGTAAAATGTGGGTAACACCTGGCTGAAGTCTGTCTTATTGACAGATCAAGATTTTCACAAAATCAAAATCTCAAGTGTACAAACCAGGAGCTTTATTGAGTGGAAAGACACAATATGGTATCAAACCTACTCTGGAGCCAGATGTGACAAAGCCATTAAGCTGCATCCTACCTTACTAGTACTCTGTTGAAACAGAAGTCTCTGAAGTTAGACTGAAAACACTTAAAATCTAACTAGGAAACCACTATGCTGATGATTGTAAACATAGCTGTTGACAACAGCAAAAACCAGAAATACCGAAGTGGGAGTGATCATTAAAATACTGTTCCCATGGCAAAGCTTTTAAGTAGTCTGTAACACTTCAGTGGTAAACTGCATTTTTGTTGTGTTAATAAGAGCTTATCTGCAAGAGGTTAGGAAAGGTCACATTAAGGGAAAAACACTGTGTAGACTCTATTCCCATTATTCATGGCAGGAACATGTACCAAGAAACATTACCTGCTGGCTGCTCCAAGATTCACACCTGCTCTGGACAAACATTCATCAGCAGTAAATGCAAGCAGAGTACTCCATCAAAGTGCAACGCCCATTGCATGCTTTTTGCCCATAGAGGCATCCGCCCAACAAGAGCTCCCAGAACAGACACAGCATTCTGCTGAAACATTACACACACACTTTGAATGACCACTACAGTACTGCACTGAAATGCAGCTTTAAAATTCATGTTTTAGGTTTTATTCAATAGATTTGGCTTTTTACAACGCCAAATTTTACAAGCTAAGGATGTTCCTGCTCAAGAGCTTACAATCTAGGTTTAGATGGGGGAACCAGAAGAACAAACTTCAATGAGGAAAAGAATGGACAAAGCACTTCATGAATATCAACTTGTCAATCTTTGTACCGAAACACACAAACACTAATCAGTTCATCATGTGGGAGTCAGAAGTACAGTTCTAATAAGAATCTTGAGGACAGAGGTGGCAGAGACCTATAAATGAGGCAACAGGACACTCAACACCAGGTTGTAGAGAGAAACTGTTTATTAAGTAAACCAAATAGAGATGGCAGATGTCACCAGGTAAAGTCTTATTACTGTAGTGTATACCTCATGAAGTACTGCAACTTGACGCCTGCTGCACTAGAACTCCATGAAGACCACCAGCCACCCATCTTCATACAAGAATGCTCCAAAATGAACCTCACAGCAGGGGGGAGAGGAGTGCTGGTAACAGCAATTTTCTACGATTTTCCCCCAGTTACCCTTTTCCATACAGTGAAGCAGCATGGGAGGTCACACAAGCTAGTTTGCGACGAGGTGCCCAAACACTGTTGACCTAATATCCATAGCACTCTATGGCAAGTCACACAGGTATTATTTATATTATTTATACAATGTTAATAAACAAACCAGATAAACAAACCAGTTCTTGCTCTTTAACTGGAGTAACTCCTGACAAAATTTCTGTGCAACACAAACCAACAGTAGCTGCAAAGCAAAAACGTGACTGTTAAAAGGGACAGTATTTCAGGCAAAATGGATCATCACTTAGGCAAACCTTTCATGTAACACACCTATGCATTCCTAGACACACTGAATGTTATGGCTGAATAAACATTCCTCCCTTGGGTGGAAAAAAAGTAACAGCACTACTGTGGGGGGTTTCACTTGCATCATGCACTCTGCTTCAAAGACCAAATGGAACACTAAACCTACAGAGAATGCACCGCCCCAGTATACTCCCAGCAAATTATCCTCTACCAATGAGGCAAAGCTGACAACTGTTTGACAACTCAGATCCAGTTCTGGGGCTTGGGTTTTCTTCCCCAGAAGCAGTATGACTTCATTACCAAGAGATCATGTACATTCATCATCAAACTAAAAGAAGACAGGCTTTCCTACACATAACAAAGTCCATGTCCTGTTCATTTTACAGTATTAACAGCAATTGTTCACATTTTCCTGAAATGTTTTTTAGCACCTGCAGCAGAATAGAAGTGAAAAAAATTCAACTTTCATTGTAAGTAACACAAAGTCTGAGTGGCCTGAACCCTACTATTGACCTCTTTTCACCATCACTTTATAAATACAAGTCATACTCGATTTTTGGGCATTCTCTGGCTCACATACCAGTTAGCAACAAGTTACGTTGTTTTTCTTTCTTCCCTCAGTTTGCAGCACAAAGTGTTCGCTGGAGGAAAAGTACTAGTAGTGACAACCTGATCATCAGCTGTTAGTACCTAGAAACTCTGTAATGTTACACTTACTTGGAAGACAAAGTGTGTAGTGACAAAATCCCACTTGATAGAAAGTAAAGATCCATTGTCTACAAATTGTTGACCACACAATACTGCTTTCATTTGAAGTTGCTAACTTCTAGTATCAGGTTGACTCAAAACTGTGACTTGTCTCCCACATTTGTTGGTGACCATTGTTGACTGTCATGTGCCTTAACTTTTAAGACCATACCAAGAGAAAAGTTATGGAAGTTCAACAGCAGGACATCAGGAAACTTAAAGACACCAGGTTTTCAAGACTTGAAATATCAAGTAATTTCATTTTTGCACAGTGCTGTCCCCCCTACACACTCCCTTCCCCTACTGCCACCAGATCAAAACGAGAACATCCTCCCTATTGGAAACATACTCAATTCAAGTAAAATTTAAACCTTATTGCTACACTACCGAAATAGTATTTTAAACAAAAAAATAATTATTGCCCTTTGAAGTAGTTTTGTTAGTTTTTTCATAAAGGTGTACGAATGTGGACTTGCCAACTGTGAAGAAAAAACCTCCATCAACTAAATCTAAGTTATGGGAAAAAAGGCAAATTCTTTATGATCTGGTCATTCTGTTGGGAAAGAAGAAAGTAAAACAGATCTGTGTGTCTTCATTTTCTGCTTCCACTGCAGCCCACCGGTTACCTATTCAAGTATTTCAAAGTTCAGCTTAAGAAACAGAAAGAAACTTTATGTGAATCCTTAAACAGTATTATAAAGGTTAAAGACACGATGATTCTGCCAAAGCATATAAATTCCAAGTTTTGAATAAACCATGCATGAAGATAAGTGGTTAAAATAGTATAACCTCAAGGTATCTTCCCTTAAATACACTCCCAACTGAAGCTTTCTCAAGCTCACACTTGGTGTTTGTTTTAATGATTTTGGTTTGGCTGTTTTTGTTTTGGTATTTTCCTTCCACCCCCGGATGCAGCTATGGGTAATACAGTTTTGCACAGCAGGAAGTCTACATTCCAGTCAGTATGTCTGTCTTCATGCTAAAAGCTGTTGTCCTATTGCAATCTGACAAACTTGACTTAGGTCATAGTTTTGTTAACAGGAAAGTATGAGGTAATATGAAACACACACACAAAAAAAAGCTACTTTTAAGCACTTGTGTCCAACAGCAGAGACATCAGCACTTTTAAATTTGCAGCACTGTTTCTCCCAAAAGAGAACAGATGTCCATGGTCAGAGAAACAAGTTCCATGAACACACTTATCAAACTGATTCTGTTTTAAATTCACCTCAAAAATGGAATGTTTCAAATCATGAAAGTGTCTAAACATAAACATTATTTAATGTTAGATACACACTAAGTCTTTATTAAGCATTACACTAGAACTACTTCGGTATAAAAATACTTTATTTTAAAGCTATGAAAGTTATAAATATATGTAGTTAAACTTTCTACTCACAGAATGTTTGCTATTTTAACATTAGTGATTTGTTTCTCCTAACGAATCTGAATTTTATTCGAAAGGTTTACAAGACATTATTACTGTAATTTTAAAAACCCATCATTACAGGGAGCTGTACTAATTGTGATGTTTTATCAGTATTCATTTAACCTCTAGATTTTTAATGAAGGCAGCAAAAACAACTATTTTCTGATGATACAGAATTTCTTATTTCTTGAAGCGTTTCTGTGGTTGACCACTTCTTCATTAGTTACCTGCAGCATGGCACCTTCCTGCCAAAGAAAAAAAAAGTGTATCTGAAGATGTTTATCACATATGTCTAAACCAAATTATCAATAGGGGAACTTCAGCCATTTTTTAAAAAAAAAGTATAAGCAGTTCACTGGTGTGTCTAACACAAAAGGAACAGGACTTTTGTTAGCTGAGTCCACGTTCTTCAATGGGTAGCCTTTTAGAGGCAATGAACTTTGAAATTAAGGCATTTTTGGTTGCCTTTTTTTTTTTGGATAGGTTTTGTTGATTTTTATGTAAAACCAAATCTAGTAGAGTGTGCCACCCTTACTCTGAATAACTCATTCATTACTTGATACAATTTCCATCAATTTGAGGTGCAAACATTCAATGCAGTGAGAGTAAGGCTGACTAAATTTGGCACTAAGGTTTGTTAGCTGCAAGAACTATAAAAAATGGTGGAAACCTCAACATTCTAGCCAAATTCCAATTTACATAAATACATTGTACACTTATGAAATACCACCTGCAGTTTCATTTGAAGGTTTTACTTGCCCTCATAAAGAACTGCTTATGCAGCTGTTAAAAGAATGGACGACACATTCCTTCACAGAGGCAGATGTATTCTGTGGTGAAATTTTTCCTTACACGTAAACAGTCTAGTTACTTGGGAACCTTCAGGATGAAATGTGTTATATAGAATAGATTACAGCAGACAAGACACGTAACAACATAGTTCATCTTCAACAGCACAGAACTACCTTCATTGCATTACCTTGCAACCACCATAATGCATAGACTCCCAAGAAAAAAGAAAATGTTGCAGGATGCAAAAATAAAGTTGTATGATTTAATTAACTTGTGACCTACCATTTTAACTACCAACACCAGGGATGGAACCCTTGCAAAGCTTTACTAATGGACACTTGCAGGTCTCATTTGTTCAACTGTAGCAGTGTACAGTGGCAGCAGTCTATGCTTGTCCAGGGTTCATATCATAGCTAGATTCCAGTAGGAAAAAAATATGTTAAGTATCTGAAATTAACAATTTTTTTTGTAAAAAATAATTTAATAATACAGTAAAACAGGATTTACAAGTTTCTTTTCAATTTGTAATTGTTAATTCAATTCATTGCTATATGTTAAACTACATAATGATAATCACTATACTGAAAGAATACTGTCATACATTATTAATTTCTTGGTTTTGAAACATTTAGAAAGGAAAAGTAAATAAGATCTTACCTAAAGAAGTTTAACTGAAGCTTAGAACTATTTTGCTCTACACCCTCAGCCTTCGTTGCCATCCTTATAAACAATCTACCGCAGTTAAAGCTTTGCAGAGATACAGCACAGCTTTTTAAGACTGGCTGAACTTTTAGTGACGTTTTCAAGAGTTCTCTTGTACTAGACCTGCGTCCCTGGAAGAGAACCTTGCAGGGGCTTTTTCCTTTCCTTGCCATTGAAGAAGCAGCATCTAAAAAATCTAAAAAGGTGTTTCTCCTTGCAGAGATACCCCTTAAGTTACCTAGATATTTTAAACCTGGTAATTTACAGACAACATACTTTTTCTCACCAGCATTAAATTTTACACGTACAACAATAGCTTTGTATTATTTGTGGGACCTTATACTACCCACTCCTTGCCTTATTTTACAGTATTAAAAAAAAAATCTAAAATTACACAATATTTCCTTTAGAATTATTTTATTAAAATCATCAATGTACAACAGCTTCTTAACTCTACACACGCACTTAAATTTTTAAAAGGAAAACGTTATGTCTTATTACACCATGATCCTGGCTAAAAGCTTTTCAAAACTTTGAGAAAAATCTTAAAAAAGGTTTCACATGTCACCTGAAACTTACAAATTTAACATTATCAAAGGAATGCTTCTACACTTACAAAGACCACTAGAAAGAAACAACAATTAAAAAGCTAAGAAACTGTCTCAAAGGCATTTTTACAATCCTTCCTCCACAGTAAGGTAATGTTATTAAATAATCCAAATCCATTCACAAAATGGCTCTCTGCATCTGCTCTGGTGTCTTCTGCCATATCACTGCATATTTATGCATGACTGAGATAAGTGTTTCCTTAACATTGTTATTTCGATAACCTGAAGCTGTTCTGTTACCTCTGGGCTCTCATCCTCTCCTATTTATACAGTGAAGCCTGTTTCAACAGAAGTAAAGAGTAAAAAAATAGGTTATGAAATTATTCATCTAACCATTTTTTAAAGGAAAGATAATATCCTAAAAAGCTTTTAACTCCTGCAGCTACTCTCAAGAATCACTGCAATTTTAACATTTAAAAACATACTTACCCATGGCATGCTTGAAGAAACTCAGTAACGGCTCCTCCCTCCATATCCACCACTGCCTCCACTGCCCCCAGGACCATAGTTTCCTGCAGTTGCAGAACACAAAATGGAATGGTCCCATCAGTACATTTTTTAACCTAGGAAAGGTTTTGACTGAACCAATCAAAGCTTAACTAATTGGAAAGTAACATCTCCTTTACTTCCAGGGACAGCATTTGCAACACAGACTTCTAACATCTAACACTCTCTTCCTCTAAAGAACCTCCAAAGACTGCCACAGGAAGCAACTGTATGCTGAAATCTTAGAAGATTCAACAGTGCCACATGTAATTTGATGCACTGTGCTGTCTTGAGCCTGTGAGTGCTGAATTTGCTTGCAGGCTAAACCTTACAAGAAAGGGCTTCATGTTTCAGTTTCCATTTCACAAGCCTAATATTCCATATTAAGTAATTTTTAGACAACAAAAAGCGGAACATCTCAGAAAAAAAGACACGAGAGAAGGATACAAAGAAATCACAGCAAATATGCTGGAAATTAAGTACCTAGACTAGACTCTAGTTACTTAGTTATTCTAGTAACTAGACTCTCTCCAAATAGTGTGAGATGACAGCAATGAACGTGAAATAGACTCTTTAAACTCGAAATTCACAATGAAACACAACACTGTGCAAAAAGTTAGTATGTTTTATGTTTCAAAGTAATAAAAATTAAATTTCCTGATCTTACTAACAAAAAATTTATAAACTTTTGGGGAATGTAGTTTGCAATGTATATACAATGTTAAATGTTGTTGGTACAAGTAACAAATTGTGATTAGTCATATTAACACTCAGTACTGTTGTGCATGTATAAAAGGGGAGTGGAACCGGGGAGGAGACGCCAATCTTTGTAGAGGGGGCAGAGAAGCTTCCAGAAGTATTGCATCATGGAGCACAGCCACAGCTCGAATCAAGATTGGAAGAGAGACCAATCAATAGGAGATGAGAATCCCAAAACAATTGGCCAAGACTGTACCAAATTATGGGCCAATCAGGAATGGAGAAATAGACTTAGCACGGATTCTGAGCACCCCAGCCAGGAGACAAGAGAGAAACTTTAAAAGGCCTGGGGTGTCTGAGACCCCGGTCTTTCCTCGGAGCCGATTTCCTTGGAAACAGCCCTAGGTTACATTTCCGAAGTTGTTGAAACAGTCTCCCGACTAGCCAGAGGCTTTTGCTTCCAGTTGTTTGGTTTGTAATAAACAGGCTTACTTAATGGTAATTAACTGGCCTCCTTTTTTTGTTACTTTAAAAGTTTTCTTTGTAAGCCTGTCCATAACAGAGACAAGCTTTACAAACTCAAGATGAGACACTGAAGCAAACTTGCAGAGAGAACACACGCGCTGCAACCCATCTATTGCAGAAGTTATCCAATTTCTGCATATCCACCTTGGAATCACATAGAATAACCTGGATTGGTTGAAGGGACCTCTCAAGGTCATCTTGTTTCAATGCCTCTGCCATGGGCAAGGGTTATCTGTCACTAGACCAGGATGCTCAAAGCCCCACCTAACCCTGCCTTGAACACTGCCAGCAATGGGGCACTCACACGACCTCTGAGCAACCTGTTCCAGAGCCTCATCACCCTCAGAGTATATTTTTTCCTATTATCTAATCTCAGTCTACCATTTTTTAGTTCAACAGTTACCCCATGTCTTCTCTTCTATTTTCCCTAAAGTGCTAGATGTCCACCCAACTCCGGCCAAAAATAAATACACAGGACATATACAATACCTCCACCATATGGTCCCCCCATGTTCCTGCTGCCACCAAAATTTCCACTCTTCATAGGACCATAATTTGAAGGTTGTTGGTTGTAATTGCCAAAATCATTATAGTTTCCACTTCCATAATTGCCTGTATTATCAACACAAAAGGGAGCAATAACTACATGAGTTAAACTGGATGCAACACTCAAAGACACTCCATTCTAAAAATTCTAAATTAAGTACAAACTCACACATGTATTCCAGCAGTGCATGCACCAATGTTTTCATTCTATTTCACACTACTTGAAAAACAACAGCTCCCTTACACACCACTTCCGAACTACCCTCCCCCCTACCCAAATGACTTGCAGTAAGTTGTAACTGAAATGACTGAACATGAACACTAAGCCTAAATATTACCTCCTCCATAGTTGTCATAACCTCCTCCATAGCCTCCACCCTGGTTGCCATAACCAGGTCCTCCTCCACCATAGCCTCCTCTTCCTCCTCCATAACCAGGACTGCCACCAAAGTTGCCACCTGTGAGAACATAATCCTTTTAAATGAGCTTTTCAATATAAAATGCACTAAAATTATACACAAAGAATATTTTTCCATTTAGAAGAACAAAGAGAAAGAAAAAGGTAGTTTTCTAAGGGAATTTCTATGGACAGTATTTTTTAAAGCACACACCAACTCCCACCCTAACTGAACTATGACCAAACCCCAACAGTCAGACTGCCTAAAGACCTCAGCTGAAAGATTTAATGAAAATCTTCATTTTCCAGGAAATTTAAACCCCACTCTTATCCTAAAGAAAAGAATATTGTCCAAGAAATAACCATACAATTTGCCATATGGGAATCTGATGTAAGCCAACAACCATGTACATTTTTCAAGCCAACAAAATGCTGTAATTCAGATAAATTTTATACATATGTATATTAATATGCAAGTGTTTCTTAATGAGAGAAAAATAAATCACCACAACAGCAAACTAACCTCCAGGTCCTCCACCATATCCGTTATATCCATCACCAAATCCACGGCCACTTCCATATCCATCTATTAGGAGAAAAAAACCCAAAGGATTTCAATTTACCTGTAGCAAATAAGTCAAATTCTCAAACTCTTATGACCATAAGAGCTAAATGTCAGAAGTTTTCAATTTCTGTACAATTAACATGTACAATTAACTTCAGAAAAATGAAGCGAAACATCCAGTCATCACTTTATATTTTTCCTTTTCTTACGTTTGTATGGTACCCAGTTTTAAAATGTCAGGCAAATGCTGCAGAGAACCAGAGAAATCTCTGACCTTCTTAGCAAATAATTTATACACTTTTGGCTTTCAATGGAAGCCAAAAAAAAAAAAAATCCCAAAAACAACTAAAAAACAACAAACAAAACAAAACAGAAAAAGCAAAACACAACTTCACTTACAAATTACTTTTCCCAAAAATTCTCTCAACTGCTACAGGTGCATTTAAGTTAAACAGCACCATAGCAGACAAAGTTATCCAGAACCAGAAAGACACATTAATAAGGTAAAAAATGTAAATGCTACAAACATGCCTGTCTTACCAGCTCCCCCTCTGAAATTGCTGCCAGGTCCTGGACCGAAGTTGCCACCACCTCCACGAGCATCACCAAAACCAAAGTTCCCTGTATCAGTTTAACATTTATAAGTAGTGAGATTGTGGAAAGTGAACACAAAAATCAACCACAAACTGTTACTTATTACATATAACCATTATACATACCTCCTCTCCCACTCCTAGAATTTTGAACCTCCTGCATTTCCTGTCTAGAGAGGGCTTTCCTTACTTCTGCATTATGTCCATTGATGGTGTGGTACTTCTGCACTGTAACCGTACCAAATAACAGGCTATCAGCATTTAACTGGCAACAAGTCAGAACATCTGACTTCCAATCCAAACACATTCTGAATCATACGAAACAACACAAAATGCCATACAATTTTTTAACAAGGATGACAACACTTCTTCAAAATACACGTTCCCACACAATTTAGCAACCTGTGATGTAGCAAATAATACAGGCATGTAACTAATCCCATTGTCTCTAAGTTTAGCTTTACACCAAGGCTGTATATTTTTTTATTATTTTTATATTATTATTTTTATTATTTTATTATTATTATTATTAATACTGTCCAAAGAAAGAGTGAAATTACTTACAAACTATTTTATCCACAGGATCGTGGTCATCAAATGTAACAAATCCAAACCCTCTCTTTTTACCAGACTGTCTGTCTGTAATTATTTCAATAGTGTCGATTTTTCCATACTCCTCAAAGTAGTCACGAAGGTGGTGCTCTTCAGTGTCCTCTTTAATACCACCAACAAATAATTTTTTCACAGTAACATGAGCACCAGGTTTTCCAGATTCCTGTTAAAAGAACTTTCTAAATTAGCACAAAAAAAACCCAATTTCATAAAGCACCACTTTACCTGGATTTCAGGAATAGAATTCAGATAAACTACAATTTTTTTCAAGCACTTTTATGCGGCATGACCTTGCAAGCTAATTTAGGGGGCCTTCTGAGAGGAAAGTAACACAGGGTTAACTTGGAGGTCTCTCCTCCTCCTTTTATATCAAAGTTTTAAAAGCACTGAAAAACTATACAGATCAACTGTTTGAAAGCACTGCAAGTATTTAATAACTTAAGTTAGAGCATTACTTTTGTAATTATTTAGACAAAGATGCATCAGCTTCTTCTGCCCAATTCCACAACAGCAGTGAACCCACATTCCACTTGTACCACGGTCCTTCAACCTCAGCAAATTCACAACTATGCATTTTAACCCTATTAAACAGTATATACATGTGCTGCTGTAATTACCTTTTTCCAAAGCTAACCAACCCTGCATTCTGCAGAGAATGGAGAGAATTACGATTTTCATTTCCCCATACCTTTTGGACAGCTCATTCAAAACCAGCTCACCAGTCCAAATGTATTAAACACCTCAGTCCAACCTAATCTGGTAAACCCTCCCAGAGCTTCTGTGTGGTGAACAGAACTTGCCTTATAACCCACCCTTGCCCCTCAAGTACCTCTGTGCCACAGTAACCTGGCTTACATGTTCACTTCATTCCTGTACACACACCCCTAACTTGCATCCTGAGTGGAAATCAAGTATGTCTGTGGCTAAAACCAACACAAGTCCACACACGATTCTGTACATCAGCACTGGAAAACTTTCCTGACTACATTCTCTGGTTTTATCTACCTTTTAGAAATAACCTAGAAGGATCTTGAAATAGTCA